CAATTGTATTACATTGTCTAAGGATATGCCTTCAAGGGCCTGATGAATCAGCCATTATTTATAATATGGAGTGTTACACTCAAGTATCCTATATGTACAGGTTGATGTTTTACATCTAATACAGAAATTTTGAGGTCTGAAATAATACCCTGCTTTAATTTTTTATATTGTAATGATGAGAAAGATTCCATTCTACCGCTATTGTATTTTTCATCTTTGACTGGAATAGCCCTTAGTAGAGTTGAAGGACTTTCCAGTTGAATATTATCCGTCGTACTGATCTGAAGAAGATAGATGCACAACTCTTTATAGGGAACTAAATCGGGTAATTTAACTCCATGCACTGTTTCGTTGGGTTCTATTAATGTCGTTCTTACTCCTGAGTATTTTACAAGTCCAAGTGTAACTGATATTCTCGGGGCAAGATGTATACTCTTTTCTCCAGAGTTTAAAATCAGCATCTCATTCGACTCATTTTGTGCGAGACTTATTCCATTAGGCTTAAAAATGTCATCATTGAGTGAGTGAGTGAGTTGGGTTGAACGCCGCTTTTAACAGTATTACAGTTATATCACGGCGTGTCAGCTTAATGTGGGAGGAAAGCCCGAAGTGATGCAGGTCTCAGACGTTTACCACTTCAGTGAAACCCACGAGCACGATTATGGTGCTGACAAACCTAGAAACATAATCGGGGCGAACCGGGATTCGAACCCACAATCATAGGTTTCTGGCGTGCCCAAGGGACGCAACTCTGCCTTAGACGACTGGGCCACCCGTGCCCCCAATTTCATCATTGAGTGAGCATACGCTGTAATACCCATCAGGTATAACAATGTGAGTGTGTTCAATACTTTATTCACCTATTAAAAACCAATTGTTATCTCTCGCAGCACTTATATTGGTCCACCGCGGGTAATACGTTACATCGCAGATAGCGACTTCAAGTTGACCAGCCGAGTTATGGATAGTATGAAGCAGTTGAATAGACTGACCATTTGTTATTCCCGGGAGTGTAACATACATATTAAATATAAGATGATACTATATCATAACTTAAATATGAAATCAACTTACATTACTAATCAGTCTATTTTAGTAAGTGCCTCTGGTGCTCACTTTTTTGTTAAATTCCCTGATTATCTTTGAAAAATACAGGGTCAGGGCAACTAGCAATAAAATGGTGCACGATTGGTTCCACAATGGTTTTCCAATGCAATTTTGGCAGAACCAGTTAAACTTTGCTGTATGGCGTGCCACAACAGGATGTGGTGTATCTCCTTATGCCCCAGGATTTGAACTAAATAAGTCTGTTTTATCATTTCATGTGTACTATCAGATTAGACGTATTCTTAAAGAAATTAGTGCTCCATTACCACAGGATCAAGCATGGAATTCCACAAATAATCCATATGATAAGAGGGCCTTCAAACGTAATGGTAATGAATTTAATATTTCTACCAGTAAAGATTGGCATATTAAAGGACTTAACCATGGTCTAGGTGTTCCGTACAGCGGAAAAAAAACTGTTAAAGAAGAAAGCAATGATTTAGTTAAAAAAACTCATCAACCATTCAATCCATTTAAGTTGTTACAGAAAAACAATCTTTTGTAAGAATGCATAATCTTTATCATGGCTGGGAACTTTCGAGTAACGATTGGAGAGGAGATCTTATGAGTTTTAAGGGTGGTTTAGCTTATATTGTTACAAAATTGGTACAACTGAACGATACCGCAAATGCTTGGAATGAATTTCTGTATGATAAAACAGAAAATATATTTACTAACTAAGGAGTTGTAACAGTTAATGAATCAATAAGAACTTATGTATAGGCAAATATTATATTTCGACGCCAACAATTTGTATGGGTGGGCTATGAGTCAACCTTTACCCACAGGTGGTTTTGAGTGGGTCTATAGTCATGATCTTCACAAGATTGATGTGAATAAAGGGTACATACTAGAAGTTGATTTGGAATATCCAACAGAGTTACACTAAGATCATAAGTTATCTGCTAGGTCCCGAAAGATTAATGGTTAATAAGGTTTATCAACACTCCTTGATGGGTAATACTAGGTTGGCTAACGTAGAAAAACTTGTACCAAATTTGATGGATAAGACAAAATATATAGTTCACTAAAGAAATCTCCAGTTACATCTATCGTTAGATATGAAACTAAAGAAAATACACAGAGTTCTAAAGTTCGATCAAAGCCCTTGGATAGAACCCTATATAAGGCTGAACACAGATTTAAGAAAGATAGCTACTAGCGATTTCGAAAAGAACCTATATAAGCTCATGAATAACTCAGTATTTGGTAAAACTATGGAGAATCTGAGGAAGCGTGTTGATGTTAAATTAGTCAGATCTAATGAGGAAGAAAGACTCAGGAAACTTATAGCCAGTCCGGCTTTTAACAGAAGCAAGATATTTGATAACGACTTAGCCGCATATGCAGAAGAGTAATAAAAAATTCAACAGACCGGTGTACGTTGGTATGAGTATTCTTGACTTGTCAAAACACTTAATGTATGACTTTTATTACAACTTAAGAAGTAATACGGCGATAGATGTGAGGTGTTATATACCGACACAGATTCTTTGTTGATGGAAATACAAACCGAGGATGTGTATAAAGATATGGCAGAAAAAATAGATATGTACAATACAAGCGATTACCCAAAGGATAATCCACTGCACAGCGTAGTAAATAAAAAGGTGTTAGGTAAGATGAAGGATGAATGTGCTGGGACCCCTATAGCGGAGTATGTCGGATTAAGACATAAAATGTATTCTATAAAGAAGTCTGATAATGGAGAGATAAGAAAAGCTAAGGGCGTTAAGAAGTATGTGGTAAAAAAGCATATCAAACACGAACAGTATAAAGACGCATTATTCAACGGTAGAACATTCAAACACGAGATGAACTCTTTAAGAAGTGTCAATCACAGGATATATGGATTAAGAATGCACAAGACATCATTATCCCCCTTAGATACAAAGAGATGGATTGATAAGGATGGTGTAACTACCTATGCTTATGGATACTTAGGGCGGTAATACTGTATCGTTGGGAACTATGAGCAACTCTTCTCGTACAAATGCCTTGCCCGGCCCATCTTTAATATAATAAAGAATAGACTTTCCTTCTTTCTTAACCAACTGCCTAATGTTATATATCTTAAGGGACCAAATCGAATCGGTTGAGCGACGTAGACCTCCTTCGAGTTCACCGGGCTGGTATGAATATCTTACGCTTACTCCATCTGAAGTTTTTGTTCTTTGCCTCTCCTTGGTGCTGAAGATTCAGAAGTCACAGATTTCATTTTAATTGCATCGGATGGTTTCTTCCCGATTAATCTTGTTACTTCATTATTTAGCGCTGATACAACAGCTGATAAACGTGTCACCCATTCGGTTGATCTTTATCATTCCGATTTCATTTCGAACCCATACTGATAGCCAAACAAACGTTTCGCTAATGTCCGGTTAAATCTTTCAATGATAGCTTGACAACGGTGGGCCTCTTTTTCACCACGCCTGATTTCAACTTAAGGCTTTGTTAACAGTTTAGCTACTGATCCCATAAACTCACGACCAGGATCTACTTGAAATAGCTCAGGCCATTTTTAGTGGTCCGCGTTTATATATGCGACTCAGTGCATTAGCTACTTCTGTTGAATCTTTCGAGGTTAATGGCTCAGCCTCTTTATATCGACTAGCCATATCCACTACGGTTAAAGCGTATGTATACGTTTTGCGTCTTACCTAATCTTGGAGGAGAAACAAGAGGTCAGCCTGGTGAACTTCATTCGTAGTAAAAATATCAAACTTCTTCCTCGGGATATAACCCGTAGCCGGTAAGGATATTTGCCACATCGCTTGTTTCTTTAACCAATCCTTGGCCACATCTTTAGATACCTTAGCCGCAGTGGCTAATTTTTTTATTGCTCCTATACCTTTCCAATATCCTCGTGGGCTATAGTAAATTTTATCCATTATGAATTAATATTGAAGATTCTTTTAATTAGTCTCATGACGATCGTTAAATCACATCATCATTTTTGCATAAAAAATTCCCCCTGTAGTAGCAGTATAGGTATATAAATCTGGCTCCAGTGGGGTTGTGGCAGAATCACCATTACCTGTACTACCCGTCACAGGGCATTGTTTCGCCGATGTGACTGTATGCAACAATATACTACAAATTATGTCTTAGGGTATTGTCACGTGTTTGAATAGTTTGTGGTTCTGTATTCTAAAGGTATGCCCAAAAGAATTCTACATGATGCTAACATATTTGCAACACCATGTCAACAAGGCTACCTGCTGAAAAATAACAGAAACAGTTTCCCCAGCTGTTCTTTCCTACGATAATGGAAACAACATTAAGACTGGTACAGCAGGGAATTTGTCAGCCATAACAATCTACATAGGATTTATGAAGGTGGTGTTCTCCACCTTATGTAAACATTGGTCAAGTCATTTCTTGTTGTCTTTGTTGGACCCCATTGTGCTCAGGACAAGAATATATATGGACAAGTTAGACTCATTAGTTAAGCCATCGGATAAGAAAGGATCCACTTATTTCTGTGATAGCTATTTGGAACTTTATACTCTATAGCCTATATATGACAAATGTTCCCAAATCACAAGTAGAACTGAATGAAATATGAAATCCTATTTACGGACGTACTAAGTACGTTGTCTCACATATTCTCTGGGATATATGAGATATTTAAAAAACTAAACAGTACCAACAGACAGGTTGAGATGGAGCCAAACCTGGATGCACGAAGCTGTTCAATGTCATGTCAAATTCTAACTGCATGCTAAACACATTTGTCCCCACTGGAATTACTTAGCTTATAAATTATGCAATCTGCATCTCCAAATAACCTCTCCATCTGTATCAAAACAAGTGGCATAAAACTGCGCCCATAACTGAAATACATATACAAAGTCTGACTCATTGTGAAGCATGTTTGGGGGTACCATTACCTATGGATTGTCCACCTGTTCACTGTTGTCACTTTTCAGCCATCTTGTTATCGATTTCCCGGAAATGAGCGGAATCGGGCGAAAATGACAAAGGGACATAACCTATTTTACATAACACGCATACCACTAATGATTCGTAATCATCATAATTGTCTCTGAGTGCTTGCTGAATGAAATCACAGGACATGTCCTCAAGGGACAAAAGGGATATATAAAACGAGTCTGAACGAAAGTTACGACACGAGAGTACCATTTGTATTGTCACGCATTGTATCATCAATAAATTACAATATTAATTATGATATAAATGTCCATCTAAATTTTATATATACATACAATTTTTTAATTTGAAGTTTACACGTTGTACAACTTTTCAGTTGGACGAGAGGTCGGTCACAAGACCGCGAAATCATTGTTTTTAAGTGTATGCACACTCAGATGGCGCAGTTGCCGCAAAACACCACTGCCACAGGCTAATTTGCATATCACGTGACCGGTCTTTTCCCTTGTTTGTAAAAAATCAGAATAGAACTGACTAATGCAAGTATTTTGGGGCGCTTTACATATTGTTTTGCATAATTATATAGATATGTTACTACAACTGCGACGGTGAATAGCATGACAATACATATTTAAACATCAACATGACCGTATCGCTAGCTCTCCGTTGGGCTTTCGATGACAGGACGTGGAGCCGTACAACCAATGTAAACATAGGATAACTACGCAAATGGAAACAGTTTTTTCACGGTTTGGGATATTTTCTCAATGAAAGTTAAACATTCTATGACATATGTTTATCTAGATGTGTAGACTTGTCAAAAATGAAACAGATGAAAAACATATGCAATATCTTGGATGGACTGTGTAAGATGTGACGAATCGTCACATGGTGCTGGCCTGTGGCAGAGGTACTATGCTGGTCGCATGTAACTCTGGGTAGGAGACACAATTTGACGTTCATGGGTGCCGTTTTCTTGAAATGACGTAAACGCTGACGTACTATTTCCACATCCCTGTTAATCTTGAACTCAGCATTTCAGTATACACTGAGAAACGTCAGATAATTTGACTGCGTGATTGTTCGCGAATATTCTTGCTACGATCCCTCCTCATGACCAACCCGAAGAAATGCACTTCCAAACTATCGTCGACTTGATCCGTCTACAGGAATCGCAAGCTCCGACGTTCATACAGTTTGGCCCTCACTCCTATGAACTCACACAAAGTGAAAGTCAATTCTTAATCTTGTGATATTCATTGTTTTCTGGTGGACTTTAAATTTCTGGATGAAACAATGCAATGTTCAAATGGATGTAAAAGTCAATAAAAAAAACCTTTTTTATTAGAGGATAAGGATGCTACATTTAGCATACATGTGTGGGTGATTAGATCGCGGAGATGAAGCTATTGCTTGACGAGTTCATAGTAGGCGGATGGGATAGAATTGCTGTAATCCTTCACCAACCATATATAATTCTGTACCATGCTGAGATTCTTCAGCATTGCTTGACAACAGTATACGAATCTAAACGTCGCAACAATGTCATATTAAAGGAGTTGTTATCCATGTCGACTTTACGACATGTTTACACTGTATGCATTGTATGATAAGAAAATATGTAGCTAAATCTGGCCGAAGGTACTAATGCTTTTCCATTGATTTCTAAAAAGCGTTTGACTGCTTGACTTAAGCACCTTTTTTGTGGCATCGTCTCATCAATTTCGGAATACATGGTTCTAGCAACATGTATTCAAAGTCAGTCGTGTTTTCGAACAGAGTATGCTGATTTCTTCGAGAGTTGCATGGGTACCCTACAGGGATGCATGATCAGTCCACTCCTGTTTACAATTTATATCAAAGAAATAAATAATTCGAACTGAAGAGGAATATTTCCCAATGTAGATAATTCTTCAGTCCACATTTTGTTTTATTTCTTGGTTTACGGATGCGCCGCTTTTTCAAAGTCAAAATGTTGATTATTATTTTTTTTACAGAGTACTCTCTTTTTTCCTACCGCCGATCTTTCCTTTAAAAAACGCATAAAAAGTTCTAACAAAAGGATTTCGTTTCCTCGTCCACACTCTCCCACCCAGAGTTCCATGCGGCCAGCATAGTGTTATGCTAAGTCACCACTGCGCCGGAGTGCGCCTCGTCGAGTGTAAAGCAAAGGGATGTCACACTGATATTTCTCGCTGGGATCCTTCTCCAATACCATCAAAGCGTATCACAATCTCATTAAAATCAGATCTTAGTTCTCGCTATCGCTAAACAAAGATTTGAGGACATCCCATAACTGGTCACGTCAGAACGATCTTTCATCCGACGAACCAAAGCGTCGCATACAAGATCATGAAAGTGACAGTCGGAATGTGTTTTCTTATCATGCAACATTGAAAATGTAAACACGGTGTATTCTGAACGACATTTACGGCCCGTACGACTGATTCCGTCAAAATTATCGTATATCTCTCGCTTCCGTGGGGTAAAGATTTGAACGGAGGAGGCGTTGCACAATATGTGGGATTCACTGCCATACAATGTCAACCATATGTTAGACATTCCGGAATGTTCGTTCGTTCAGTTTTCAAAATTTTAATCGAGAACTGTGTCAACATATTTTTCAAGCGTAGTCTGAAATGGAAGTTGCCAGGTTGAAATGAGTGCCGTAAAGCTCGAGAAAGCTGCTTTCTGATTGGCTGATGTCGACTTCTTGTCTTGTCATTTCAGTGGTCGGCCAAAGTTCGCGAAAGGTCTTTCTGACTTGACACATATTGGGATGTCCTCAGATCTTGTGGGTACTTTTGCCCTTTTAAGTACAATGGGTGCTCTTCCCATGCAGTCTTTGACGGAGCTTGTCCGTATATTGTGGGTGCTATGCCCAAATAAAATAAAATTCCTTAATTCCGACATCAAAACTCTGAAATGCTGAATACTGCTTTGCTGTTAATTACTTAATACTGACATACAATATACATATGTGTGGGGGTGGCTTACCCCAAAATATCCCTAATCTGAATTCAAAGTCCTAGACAATAAATTCAATTTTGTACCAAACTGTGCACATTAATAACTTGTAACAAATGACACATTTTGTCGTTTAGATTTTCGAAATTACGAGTCTAGCTTAAATGTGTGACTCGATAACCCTACAGCTTGCTGTGATCAAACATACCCCGTTGCACTTATCAACAGTCACACAATATATATCCTGGATTGAGTCCATGTAAGAAAAAAAAAGTTAGTAAGTCCCAATGAGATATCTTGTACACAGTGTCCATCTTGTAGGTGCCTGTAAGGCGGTTTCTGTATGATGCAGGGTCTGCATGATGATGGCTGTGATCAGGATGTCTGTGGGATAGGCGTGTGTACTTCTTTGGTCCTGTGTAGGAACGAAATCTTGAAGGGGAAATCTCATCAGGAAAGTTCGCATCGGAGAGATTCTTGTTGTTTTCTTCAATCTTTTTTTTGCTCTTCATGACTTGAGTTGATGATTGTTGATGATGGTAGGCATATAGAGAGGTTACTGGATCGGGATTAAACTGAAGAGTTACTCCAGCCAGATTCTAACACCAGATGTCAACGCGCATGTTGACGGGGAATTAGCTCTTAGGGGAATAAATGACAAAATCGATATCACTGTCTCGGAACGCTTTATGCACAACATGTAAACAATAAACAACAATTGCACAATGAGCGGAATACCTGCTCTGACAACACAAAAACAGTGATGAGCGGACCTTCCAGCTCAGGCATACATGAGGTGACCGGAGCTCCAGTTCACCTCAGGACATTTCCTATGAGCGGCACATCCTGCTCGAGGTCGTCCCTACACCAGACTCGGAATACCAAGCTTGACTAACACCATGTAATGGTAACACATATATAGTAATGAACAACAATGGACAGACAATGATGTTGCTCTGGTCATGGGACTTCTGGGGGTGATGAACTGGCATTGCTCAGGGGATGAACAATTGAGGCAATAAATGTCATACTATACTGTATTACTAACAGTAATTAACGGGAAGTGATATAGTAGCCCAGGTTGGCTGACAGTCAATATACAATGAAATGGTGGTGAGGATTAACAACATGTCATGGCTACAGGATAATTAGCCTTTTATGGACCTCTATTGGTACCTCTAAAGGAGAGAAAGCCTGTGCTGTTGGTTGTTATTTTTTATGTTGTTGTTTTAATAATTTTTCTCTTTCTTTGAAAGACGAACAAGTTCAGGTGCTGGTTTGAGAGTCTGAGATACAACATATTTGACAGTTTTTGGTTTGGGAGGTTTGCACATTTCACATCCTTCCTGTCAGTGGCCTCGTGTTTGTCACCACAGTGGTAACAAAACGCTTGGCAGGTGCAGCTCCGGAGTGGATTTGGGATATACACCTCCACTCCAATGGTACAATAACCAGCTTTGATGGATTGAGGGATAGTCGTTCGGGCGAATGTGAAGAGGTATGTGTTGGTCGGTTCGACCACACGATCCTTCTTTACAGCGAATCGTTTGACAGACTGTTGATCAAGTTCCTTGGCAATGTCATCTTTAGTCATGTCAGACAGGCAAGCATGCTCTGACTGACTGATATAGAAGATTTAACGTGCGCTTTCCGACTGCAGCGTATTTCGCACACGGGCCTGGCCGGACCATTTAGTGTATTCCTGGAAGGGTGAAAGTGGTGTGTGCAACCCAAGAGGGGGCTTTTAGGGGTTGCTTATATTGATTTTTGAAATTTTAAAAATTTGGAATAAATGCCGAGGTGGGTGGAGGAGGGAACTAAGGGAGCCGGGTGAGGTGGGTGTTTGTATGTTTTTTTGGATTTTGGATTGGTAGATTAATTAGTTTTTAGATGCGCTAAATTAGGTCTGTTTTGATTAGGAATACGCCTAGGGCCTTGAAGTTTTCTAGTTTATTTTGAGGGTTTAGTATTTCATCTAGAGTAGGAACCTTATTTAGATTGAGGTTGGTTTGTAGTGTGGTTCTGTGTGTTTGGTAGTGGGTGCAGTGGATGAGTGCGTGTTCTGTGGTTTCGGGTTGTTTGCAGTGGGGGCAGTTGCCTGTG